GTTCTTAATCCAAAGGGCTGCAGGAAATGACATGGCTGTTTCAATAAGCTAGTCTTTCAGAGAGAGGCTGCTCAGGAAAACATGCTTCTCTTTGTAGTAGGTTGCAAACAAATGGAGGAAGCTCTTTGGCAGCCACAGATACTTTCAGTCTTTAGCAGGAGGAAATAGGCTAGGCTATTCTTAATCTTCGATTGGCCTGAGCTTTTGAGTGCTTTTGTAGAAGCTTACGCAGACAGCAGTGGGAAGTTCAATGGTCAGTGTCCTTTATCTGTGTACCAAGATCTGGGGGACAGGCCAAGAACACAGCCTGAAATACAGACAAGAAAACAACAGTAGTATGTAGAATATGATTTAAGAGTTTAAATTGATAATTGAAGTATTTTTAAAATATTATTTATTTTTCTACCCCATTAAAATTTTTGCTTTTTCTGCCATCATGACCATTTTTTATTACCTCACTGTTACAGATTGGGAATGTTCTGTCTTCCTCTGCAGAGAAGGGCTTTAGTATTATTCTTGAATGGCTTCTTTCCTCATACGACAGCATGGAGAAAGACACAGAATTGAACTAAAAGACTAGAGGGCCAACCACTCTCCGATCTGATGATTCAGAGCTTGTCTGTTTTCGATTGACACAGAACCAAAGGAACGGCCTGGTGCAGTTTTAGATGCTATAGTGTTCTGTTCTAAATCGCTTTCAGGCTATTTGGGGTTCTTACTGTCTGAAAGATATGAAAGATACGGGTTGGTGTTGATCAAACACAGCATGCATAACTCAAAGTGGCAGGCAGGCATCATCTGAAAAAGATCACAAATCTTTTGTATGCATCTTTTTATATTCCCATAAAATTGGGATCGAAACAAAAGCACTATTGATTTTTATTTTTGTTTTACTTTCCACCAAGTATTTTTTTGGTTTTGCTTTTCTTCTTGCCTTTTCTTGAGCGTGGAACTGGTGATGATAAAATAGTCGTATAGGTTGTACGCTGTTTCCTATCGGATATTGAATGGGAGGATCTCCTAGAAAAGAATCCAAATGTACTTTGGTTTTTGTTGTGTTTTTGTTTGTTTTCTATCCTACTCTAGAGCTCTAGAACTCTACCTACTCTGGTGATTTCAAAAGCATTACTTTTCCTAGAAGTGAGTTATTCCATGACTGCTATGCATTCCATCTGCATGATGTAAAGCAGGAATTCATACATAATGCACTGCAAAGATTTCCTGGACACGCAGTTTTGTAACAATAAGCAGACTTAACCTCAACTTTCTGCCTAAGGTTTGACTTTTCTAGTTTCTGCTGCAGGACTGCTTCAGTTAGCAAGCATAAAACGCTCCTGCCTTGAGTTCCCTTACACTCCCCTTACATTCTGAAGTGGTTAGCCAAAATTCAGACCTACTGTTCTGATTGGGTTAAAGGAAGATCAGAGTTCTCTCTCAATACTATTTTAAAATGGCACTGTTCAAGTCAGGGAGAGGAGAAACCGTATTTAGACATACAGCAGCAGCGGTCAGAAAAACTACTGATCCACTGATTTGTATGTATGGTTTGACAGCTATCTGCAAGAAAGTAACAGCAAAATCTTTACAAATGTGGTTAACCAGTAAGTATTCCAAACCAAAATTTTGGTTCATTTCAAAGCTGAAAAGATGCATTAGTCATTTCCAAATGCTAGAAAACCTATTTTATTATTGAGGGGGAAATAATGATTAGGTAGTTTTCGTCAACTGAGGAAACCTGCATGGAAATAACATATTTCGGGGATCTTAAAAACTTTCTTGCAAATTGGTTTGCTGTTCATCCTATACCTGGTGTTTGGAGCTCTAAGCTTAAAGCATCTGTAACATTTGGGCATTTCTGTAAGTGTTTTACAGATGTCTGCAGAGTATGGTCACTAGCAGTCTCGCACATCATAACCAATAAAAACCTCCACGTATTAGACATGGTCTGGTATCTAAATCACACATGTATTTGTATGCTTTTATTCAATCTTCTCTGGGATTACCCTGTGATTTGCATGTTTGGAAGCAAAGGGTCTTTCTGCGTCAAGACATCTATCCAAAGTAGGGAAGAATTTACAGCAGTTAACTGTGGGCTTTCAAAGCAATGACTGCAGTCAGATTCTGGCCTAAGTAATTAACTTAACGATGGGAAAGAAAAGCAGCGTGTGGAAAATATAATTAATTGAAACATATAACGTTCAGTTCACACACAATAAATTGGCAACTATGCCTGAGGTAATTGCCTTTTATTTTCAAGATAAAGTTGGAGTTTTTAAGAAGTAATTGAACATTTTCTTCTATTTTCACACAGTACCAGAAAATACAGTACAGTTAAAATACCAGCAAAAATGAAATAAAATAATGGTTATTGTTGCTTTTGATTTATTTGTTTGTGGATGTGAGCACGATGAGGTGGCAGTGGTGAATTTCGGCAGTGGTGAATTTCAGCAGTGGCAACAGTGACAGTGTGTCTCCTCTGCTGGTGCAAATTTCTACAGACACAGCATGCAGCTCTGGTTCATCACTGGTGCAAATGCACAGCTACTGATGGGGACCATATTAAAAAATAGTGTTTTGTAGAGTGTGCTGTCAAATAGTGTTGTGGTGCACTTTGCATTTGTTGTAGTTTTCATGGACATAAATAGAGATACTTTTGGAGCAACCTACATAGAATAATCTAGAAGGACAAAGCAGAAACAACGAGAATAAATAACTGTAAGAGCTAGATATCTGTTTGCTGAAGAGATTTAGGAATGTGATTCTCCTGACTCAGGAGATAACAGTTAAAATAGTTCTAAAATCCTCCTATTTAGAAGGGTTGAATTTTCCCAATTCTGACAGTTTACTGCAGCATTTTCTGAATAACAAGCATGACACCAGTTGTCAGATCTTCAAGAGAATGCATTCTACCACTTACTGCATAGCGTGGCTCTCTGAAAGGCACCAGTACGATGCCATACTGCAAAACTCAACCTGCTGCAAAACAGCTCTGTTGTCATCTTTCTCAAGAAATTTGCAAGAGGAAAATGAAGATGATTTCCCGCTGGGATTTGCTGCTGTGACTGACCATACAAATCACTAGACTTTTTAATTGCTATCCAGTCTTCTCAATGAATTAGAAATGCACTCTGTCAGTCACTGCTGTTGCTACCCAGCAAATGCGATTTCCCCTCTTTGCACAGGCAGGAGGGTGGGCTGTCTGCCACTTAAGTGCTTTGTTTTTCTTTCTTTCCCTTGCTTTTAAGTGATCTGTCTTTGCCCATAGTGGTGAGAAGGAAAAAGGAAGTCCAAATGTGTTCTGTCCTAAGCATGAGAGTGTGGATCTAGTCTATTTCGTATTTGTCTGAATAACAATGGAATCTAGTAAAGAACCAAGCACTGCAGTGAGTTATTCTCAAAGTAAGTCTGATTAAGAGCTTTACTGCTGCTTAAAATGAAACAGCCTGAAGACTAGGAAATACAGTTCCTTGTATAATACTCCTGCTGTGACTAGTCTTAATACTGCTGTCTCCAGGGAATCTTGCATTTGCTGCAGGCTGAGCCTGGTAGGCAGCTTGTTGTTGAACTAAGTCCTTAAATAGGTAGCCAGAACTTGCAATTTTTTTGCTGGTGAATTTCAAATGATGTTCTAGGAAGATCAAATTAACTAGCAAGGATCCTTTTAACAGGGTAAATTATTACATCAGCAAGTGGTGAACTCAATGAATGTGAGTAGATCTGGCTTGCATCAACAAAGAAGAGATGTTAACAGTGCTACCAGCTGATTCTAAATGCACCTTGATGTGAAAGGCTTTAGACAACACAACAGTTGATCAGCAGCAGCACTTTAGCTTCTTTGCCTACAAAAGTTGCATTCAACTCTAAATATTTCAACTTTACAACAGCACTGCAAATAGTAACTGACTTTTTTTCATTCTGCTGGACAGAAGCTCAAAGTGAGAAGAGCAGGATGTGTTGCACGTTATTACTAAGGTACAAGTGGTAGAAAGGGCTGTGAGTGTGTAAGACTTCTTTCTTAATGGCTATGTATTTTGTTCTGTCCTAGAGAAGGGGCCTGATCCTACATAAAACAGATCACAGTGTTTAACAGCTCACAAATTCAAACACAGGTTTGCATGTTTGGGAGATTTTAAAATATGTTCGTTGTTAAATGAGTACATCTTTCAGGGGATAAATATGTCGTTGCTTATTAGTCTAATAAGCATATGACTGCTGTGGTGGCGGAAGGAAGACTTTAATGCATTCCTAAACAGATTCTTTATTTTTAGATAGCTGAAGTCCTCGGTAAAACTGGGGCTGCTTAATATAGGAAATTACCTTAATTAGGTCACTTCCTGTTTGTGAGATTTTTCTTATTAACATGCTTTTCTGATCTCATTAAAAGTGGATGCAGAAATCTGTAGAAATGCCCTTTTGAGTGAGCATATGATTCTGGGATGGATTTTCAAAACTTACTTATCTTTTGAGCTAAGCCCAGCAGGGTCATTGGTCTTAAATTGATGTAAAGTGTTCCTGGAAGAAATGAATCACATCTCATGCTATTCACCCCAAACACAGAAGTAAATGCATGACAAAAAGCCTTTTTTCATCTTTCTTGACACTAAATAGGCCAAATGATTCCATGGTATTTAGTGGTGCTTCATGAAATTTGAAGCTCAAGTCAGAATTCTTTTGTCTAGATGGCACTGCTCACATTTGACAGGACAATTTTCTTTCTTATTAGATTGTACACCTGAGTCAGGACACTTAAAAATAATAAAATACTATAAAATGACAACACTTAAAATCTGCCCTCAACTTCTAATGCAATGTAGCAGGAAATAAAAATTACAAAATTACAAATTTGCTATATATATATATATATATATATATATATATATATATATATATATATATAAAATATAAATTTTCTTGTATGTGTTCTGACTGGTAGAAATATAAAGGCAAGTACCTCTGTAGAAAATGACTAGGTGACAAACAGGTCTTTGGGCATTTTCCCATGTTTTTAATATGTCTATTTATTTGTAAAGTTTAGATTATTCAGACTATGCAGATCCTAAGAGACAGTCTTTTTTTTGTGACATTTCATGGTGTTTTGTAGTTTTTATACTGAAAATCTAGCCAGAAATGGGATAACACTCAGTGAAGCTTTTCCTAACTTCTCTGAATGAGCAGTGTTTAGATGTCATGGTAACAGGAGGAATTTGTTATGCCCATTCCCTTGAATATCTGCAGTTGTTGCTGCTGAAGCTGCTGCTATGCACAGTGATCATAACGTTCATCTCAGCTGTAGCCCAAACACTAAAGCAGGGCTAAATGCTTCTATGCTTCCTCTGTTCCATTGGGATAGGCTTATCCTTCTATCTGAATACAGGCAAGTACATACATTAGCAAAGTGCCACCAAAGGTTATAATCAACTTTGTTAGTGTGCCAAACCTTTCTTGCTACTACCAACTATGACTACAAAATCCCTGCAAATAATATAGTAGGGAACTGGCCAAAAACCCACACAATCCAATGGGATACAAAATGTCCCACTTCTGTGATATTTTTTTTTCTTCAGAAGTTTCCCCTACAGTTTAGGAGAAATTATTAATCTCTTAGTGGAAGAGATGAGTTGTGCTCAAAGTGAGTTTCACCATACAAATAGGCCCTTCTGAACCAGCTGAAACTGGTCTTGAGTCAATCACGGTGCTTACTGCTCTTCCAATGGAGCCTGGGGTTCCTCTTTCAGTGGCAAAGCAACACACTCCTTCATTTCGGCGTCCTGCTCAGCGGTACCATGAGTAGTGGCTTCGTAAGGCTCACATGGGCAACAGCCAACTTCTCCCTTCCTGCTCTTTTGCAGAATAGTAGTGCGAAAGTCTAACGTTATCACTGCCAAGCGATACAGTTGTAGGATCACAACTAAGATATTCTTAGCTGTAAAAAACACCAGCATCTGGTTGAATATTCGAAAATGGCCCATCAGGATTGAACGCACAATGAAGAAGGGACCATCCTGTATGAACAAGCTCACCCCGATGTTCCACAGCTCTGAGCTATACCTGCACAGCAGCAGGCTAGGGATCTGCCTGCTCGATGCAGTTGGTTTGCAGCCAATATGCTGTACTGGAAATAAAACATACATGTTAAAACAGCTCTCTTAGAACTTAGCTAGGATTGAGCTAAAGGGAAGCTTTTAGGTAGCTTGGATTATAAGTGCATTCAAGTGTGAACAATTCAATGTAAAGCATATCCCATTTCTGGGATCTTAAGTTAAGCAGGCATTTACATAATCTGTCAAAAAGAATCAAAACCCATTTCCCCTTTTCTGTCCCACAAAGCTATCAGTATCAAAACTAGAAGTTCACTTAATTTTTCTACAACAACTTTCCCAGATACTTTTCTGTTAAATCAATGTGCTAAGCTAACATGCATTGTTAAGAAAGAAAAAACACCTTGAATAGGAACACTTCAGCTGGTTCCAAGCTAAGATCTTGCTTGTAAGAGATTCAGTTGCAGACTGTTGCCTTTTCCTTGTGTTATAATAAGTTTATGTCATGTTTGGTGAGAGGCAGTATCAAGCATTATTGTCAAGAAGAAGCCATAGTCCCTGCTTGCCTTGTAAGACTTAAACTCTCAGTCTTCTGGACAGCAAATTGCGTGCAACTACTGGAACCTGTGTGGATGCACAGGTCTTTATCTACAGAAGCAGTGGTGGGCTAGAATGCTTTTGGTGGCATCTAGAGAAGGGTCATCAGACAGCTTTGTGTGTGGTAGGTATGGCTGCATGTTATGAAAATTCATGAAGCTAAACTAACCTGTTTCTCTGGCGATGGGATTACATTAGTATAAAACCAGTAGTTACTGTGATGTGGTACCAACCACCAAGTAGCACAGCTTACCACAATAACTCATTTGTTTGAGGTAGCATGGGGAAAAGGAAAAAAAGATGAGACTTAAGAGCGGAGAATGAGCTGTAGAAGGGGAAACACTTGTTCTGAACCCAGTAGGCAAAGCTTCACCAGCAGCAGGTAATTTTTAATAGCTCATGCGTTCTTAATAGTCTTAACTTCATTGCTGTAGTTTTATATAGCATCAATGAATTGCTTTTTTAGGTCACAGTTACATGCAAGTAAACAGTCTGATGTCTGAATGAAAAGTAGTATTTGTGCAGCTGTATAGTTAACTAAAATAAACTGCACCCATAGTCAACATGTTAAGAATTAAGTTATTGAGCACCAGTTAAATGTAACTATAGCAGAAAAATAGGCGGAAAAGCAACAGCCAGAGGAAAAAAAAAGCACAACGCACATTTTGCTTTACTTAAATTAATGTAAATTAATGCAGGGTTTCTTTAAGTAACATTTGAATTTATTTGGGTATGTGTAGTGGGTTTTTTTGTTTTTTTTTTTTTAAACGTTGTGCATCTTTAAGAGAATATGCAGTAACAAAAAAATTTATCTGTGATAAATTGCAATATTATTTTTTCAGAAGGTGATAGGTGAGCTGAAGTACTGAAATATTTTCCTACCTTCAAAATTGAAATCAAAGCCTAGTGCTGTCCACAAAAAGAGAGCTAATGAAAAATTTCAGGAATCATTTTTCATTATTAATTTATTCGTTCATTACTTTAGGTGTGTCAACCTAGTAGTCATCAGTTTTATAGAAGATGGTGGTGTGGGTAACTTATCTTCAGACTGATACAGTTTACTTGCAAACTTGTTGATATTGGAGGCCAAAAAGGTTGAAATAAATAGATTTTTATTATCTCCTTTGACCTAAGGAAGCCTTTCTGCCTGCAGGCAAATTCCAGCCCAAGTTAGCTGAATGTTGGGCCTTTTAGTTTAGAATAAGAATATACAGTCTCAAAACAGCACGGTCTTGCAAGTTCCCTGTGATCAGGTAGCGTGTCCAGTGGTAACCCCTTGAGAGCCTGCGGCATCTAAGTGTAGGCTGTGTTGTTCCCTGTGGCTGATATTTGCCTATTTCTCTGTGGGATCCAGTAGTCTCCCCACATTGGAATCATGATAGATTCCATGGCCAGATCTAACCCAGGAGCTAACAGAATGAAATTTACAGCAGTAACAGGCAACTAGAGCAACGCTTCAGTACTGCAGTTGCACTTTTTCTGGAAGCAGTATTTTATCCGGAAGACAGAAGTTAGCCAGAAACAAATGCTTCTTCGAAAGAGACCACAATAGGTCTTCAGAAAGTGTCACTATCTTTGTCATATGAATTGCTCTTCAGCAGAAGCCCTGGATATCGCCTGTAGCCTGTGCACAATCACAAGACATGCCAGCAAAACCTTAAAGCACATGTTCTTATTTCTTGTCTGTAAGTACTAACCTGCAAGATCAAGTGGAAACTGTAACATACTCCAGGTCCATACTGCGAGAATTGCATTTATGAGAATATAATTCTTCCTATGGGAGGAGAAAAAGTAGTAACAGTGAAACAGTGGTTTCCTTTTGTGTTAACAAAAATGTTTTCTGTAGTATTTAGAATGTCATTTAAAGGGAGGTTGAGCTAAACAGTGATAAATGCGTGTTTCCAAGTGATACTGGTAATACTGAGGAGAACAGGCACTTTTTGGTGTGGAATTTTTGCTGCTTAGTTCACATGTTCCAGCTGTGCAATTACACTAAATTCCTGATGCTGATGTTATAAGTATATGGAAATATCTCTACTTTGAGCTACAGTGTCTATCTTTACCCTTAATACCATATGTAATGATTACATATTCCCTGAAGCCTGAAGCTTCTCTTCCTAGTCGGAAGGACTTCTTTCCCTCCTATAAAGCCTTTTCTGCGATACTGAAACATAAAATAAAAAAAAGAATAGGGTCTGCAGGAGAACCTTTTCTGTGATTCTTTCACCTTGTGATAGGTGTTCACAATTCAGCTCTCACTGCTGTGAGAGGGAGGTGGGCTTACATTCTCTGGGAGAGAGCGCAATGTTGAAAATTCACAGCAGAACTAGGCTGTTCCCTTTCTTCTTACTTTTGAACACTGTTGTTCTATTGTGAAGAAGAAACTACAAATGAAGTAATCAAAGAATCAACTTGGATAATGAGTCACTAAAGCAAACTTGAGTTACTTCCATGTCAGGCTAAAACAATTCATTAACCGGAGAAGTTCTGTATGTAGCCAGAGTTTCAGCTGCTGTAGCTTTCTGACCTGATGCCACATGGCAGTTATGCTAGTTTTTTGGCTTTTTGTACCCTTTTGTTGTGATGAATGTGATGTGTTTCTCTGCTAGCAATGGATGAGTAATATCTGACAAAGCTCATCAGACTGCTAAGTCTTTTACAGCAGAAAGAAGACAGTAGGAAAGCAGAGCCCTTGACTGTAGCCTTCTGTTATCGGAGGGAATACAGTTTTAGTGGTCTGGATGCCACAGACAGCAAAAACAAAGCTTCAAACTGAACAAATCTCTTTTGTAATGTGCAAATTATTTATGTCGGCAAATATTCCTTACCGCACATCCTCAATGTCCAGGGTTTCACTAGCAAATTCAAGTATATCTGCTGCTGTTCCTACAAACATGAGAAGCAGCTGGGACAACTGGTCCCGGGTGATTTCAACCCCAATGGGGAGAAGCCATCTCCCAACTACTAGAAGTAGTAGAAAGGTCTGGTGGAGAGCCAGGGTCCATACAGTCTCACAGATTGTGGAGAGCTGATCCACAAAGACTTTAGCCTGTTTAAAACACAACAATAGTAACATGCTGTAACTTCAGGAGACTTAGCTTAAAGATGGCATTAATCCTTCAGCCTGCCTTTGATCTCCTTCACGTAGCATTAGAGGAAATAATTTCTATGTGGTGGGTATAATTTGAAAAAGGCATGTTAATAACATTTTTGGATAACGAGTACTGATTCTTTCTCCATACTTTTTTTTTCCTATTGTCATTTTTTAGCTATTATTATTTGCAGAATCGTCATCCAGACATAATAAATTCAGTTACGTTTTGAGGAGAACAGTATGAGACTTCCTACCAACAAGTGTTAGTACTTGGTGACATGCTGGCCGCTTTTACCATATGGCTTTGTGTAAGCCACATTTTCTTTTGGTCACTATTTAAAGAGATTGCCCGTATAGGTATGACAGTCCTCTCCAATTGCTTTTTCCCAACATTTCACAAGTTCACTGAGAGGAACAGGAAAAAGTGTCCCACCTACCGTCCGAATGATGTGGTGATCTATTCTCTCGCTTCCCTCACTGATCTCTGGAGACTGACTGGTATCTTGATTGGTGACATTCAACTGAACAGCTTCAGGCTCATTACTGCAATACTGTTGTGAACAAAACCATTACATAAGCATTAATATCGTGCACAGGCAGCAGATGCGTTCTATGGCTGAAAGAGGCCTGCAGTCTTGATGTGAGATGTGTTGGTAGGCCCTGGGGAAGCTGCAGGATTGTTCTGCAGAAGCAGATGTAAATTCAAAGGCTGATGGAGCAGGTCATACCGTTTTCTGCTAAAACTGCACTCTGCAGCTCTCTTCAACGCGCTGCCGGGTTTCCTACATTGTCTCTTTCTGCCTAGAATGGTACAGTAGGTAGAACTCGCTCAGTCTGCTATCTTATGCTTATGATCAGAGGCTCTGTATCCAAACTTGTTTTCCAAGTATCTGTTTTAAGCTTCTACTGTCCAAAATAAGTTCTCTAAAAATGCAATTGTTTTCTTCTGTGATTTCTCTCAAGGCTGCAATTAATAGAGCTGAGCTGTAGGGGCATTTGGGTTGTATTTTCCCTCTTCCTTTCCCTGCAACTTTGCCTATTTTGCAGGAAGTTCATAATGTAAGAGATGAGATTCAGGAATAACTAGAAGAAATAGGTCTGTAATGTTGCCTGCCCCTGCAGAGTACAAAAATTGGTGCTTTAGTTTTTGTAGGCGTTGGATCCTGTGGGAAAGTAAATGTTGGCTAAAGCACACTGCTGGGTGCAGCGCAGTGACTCAGCAGTGGGAAGTGCATTGCTTTCTGCCTTTGTCCAGCAGAAGCTCTTGGGGTAGCTGGGGCCTGGCTCCTAACATCTGTCTTCATAACAGCCTTTAGCATTTCACTGTAATAAAAAAGGAGTAATTAGAAAATCAAACCAGGCTGTCACGAAAGACTTCTATCCCCCTTTACTTGTGCCAGAGAACGCCAAAAAACTCCACTGGGCCCCCCACCATTTTATTGCACAAGGAGTGATTTTCTGCAACAATTGGAATGTTTGCATGCATACTAAGCAGCTCTATTCAGCATAATGCCTGCCAATAGACAGGCAACGTTTTCCAGCAAATGTCAGAGCCTAAAAAACTTCAGATCCCCTTTTACTTTGTCTCTGATGATACTGCTCATATCTGAGCAAGTGCTGCTTCTTGCCTGACATTGTAGATAAATGGAGCAACTTCCTGTGGCCTGAAAAATCTGGAAAAAAGTCAATGCCTGTTCTTTTGGAATTGGTGATAACAGCTCTGAAACTGAATGCATGGCTTATTGCACAATGGGTGTGACAGCATTGAAAGATTGTCACCAAGATGTTGGGGAAATATTTCCATCTGGGGAAGGGAGGTCTTGAAATTCTGGCCGTGGACACAGGGACAGACAGGATCTGGGGTTCTGCCTATCTGCTGCCTTTTGGGGCTGATCTCCCAGGTTGTCCCTACAGGTTGCTCCTGCACAACCTGCTGTGGGCTTGTTTTGTTATCTAGCTGCGCATAGGCATAGAGAATGGTTAAAAAAATAAGTTGACTTTATTTATGTTTTTCATAGGGCTCCTAATATGCAATTTTTGAAACCATTCCTGACTTGATGGGGGATGCATGGCTCCAAGAACATTGACCAGTGTTCCTTAGAGCCAGATCTGAACTGCTCTGCCTGCAGGCTGGAAATGGAGAACTGCATCTGCAGAGTCAGGTATTTAAATCGACCTCTAATTTTAATTTCAGTAGGTTCCTCTCTTCTTTTGATTTGTTCCTCTGAATATTTATTAAGTGGTGATTGTGGTGGTGATTCACTTGAAAGTTAGGAAAAGAACCTTTATTTTACATCATGTATATGCATGTAAATAGGCCTGTTGGTGCCAGGCATATCTGCCTAGCTAATTATGTATGCACAGTGACTTAATGGGAATGTGACAAGGAATAAGCCAGTACTAAGCTTCATAGGCAGATGAACATGGTTTACCTTCTTAGTTCTACAGCCTTGTTACTCATAGGTGTCTGGATGTGCATGTAGCTGAACAAAAGTGCTTAATGTTTATTGTGCAAAAATAGAACAGGAAGAAATTCTACACATCTTACAGAAATTCTAGTAGATTTACTTCTTTTGTTTCTTATGAAATGAAGCTGATATTCCTCTGATCTATAAAACATCATCAAAGTGGAAACTGTTTTGCATGACATATTTTCTCAGTGCCCAGCTTGCAAAGATCTTGCTGGGGGTGCAGGGGGACCCCCTGAAATACTGAACTAATCCAGCAATTTTCTATTTGCTTCTTATTCAGTGCCAGATAGAAATGAGGTCAGCTAAAACTTTTTGCAGCAGACCCAGCAGTGAGGTGATAAAATTGCTGCTGGAATAGCAGGGTAGTGTGCCCTCAGCCCTGTTACCATGTGGAAGCTGACAGCCCCTGCTAAGCAACAGGTACCCCTCGCTCTGCATCGCTGGAAGCAGTGTGGCCGTCACTATGGCAACACACATGATGTCAAATTCAGTATTGTGACTTGGCTTCATTTTGCTTCGACTAGAAAGCTGAAATGTAACATAGGGAGAAAGGATTGCTTAAGCTGTCTTCCCAATTGAGGAAGACAACGAGTGTGGGAAGGGAGAAATGATGCATAGTATCTCTTTTGGAAGAGTGATACAGTGGAATTTTAGCTGGTAAGAGAATCCCATGTTTGAATGAGGCTGAGGGAATGGACAGGAAAATTGGTTATTTCCTTAGTGGTTAAATGTATTTAAAGGTTTACCAAGTATCCATCTTACTTTTGAGCAGGACACTTGCGTGAATACTGTCCTGGCCGTCAGGTAACCTCTGCAAAAGATGGTCAGCTGTTTTGCTGTGGTAGTAATATACAAGGTATTTGAAAAGCTATGAGGCATTCGTTCATCTGAAGTCTTATGCATTTGAGGAATTATTATTGTTTCTTAATGGAATAAATGGTTTTAATTTTCTTGCTGCTCTGTTTTGCTGACAGCAATTTCTTTTGCTCAGTATGATTTAATTTATTTTATGGAGTCTCCCAAAGATGCATTTCATCCCCAAATGCTTCACTGCGAAGCAGCACTTTTTATGCAGTCAGTATTCCACTTTGAATGGCACTACTTCTGTCCAGTACTCGGAGGCAGACTTGTCTCAGTCTTCAGGAGAAACTGTGCATTAGCACATGCCTGGAGTAACAGCACCAGCACAAGCGGTTGATGTTTCTGCTTAGGTTTTCAACAAGAGATCAAAGTTCTGCGGCCTCGAAGACCACAAACTGTTCTGATAGTGTGTGTACAAAAAGTATGGAGCCATTCTGGTATTATTTTCATAAGGAACACTTAAGCACAACTTTCACCAGAAGATATAATACATTATCTGGGTGCTGTTTGATATTGTTACGAGGGCTGCTCCTTGTCTAGTAGTGCTGCTTTTGAATCTGTCTGATGGTGCATTTCTAGAACTCTCTATCCTGTTTTTCCAGGTATAAACTAAGCTGTTAACTTGATATACTCCCTCTTTAATTCATAGTAACAGTATATCAATAAGAACAAAATATGCCATGTTCTAACATCATTTTGGGAAATAAACTGCTGCCTCTGACTACAGAATTAGCCTGTTTTGTGGACCAGATTTAACTATGACAGATGTTCTCAATATCCATGTTACCTGTCTGTGACTGTTTAAGGAGATTCGGCAAAACAAGATGACAATAAATTCCTGCTGCTGTATTTAGAAAAAGCCTCAGGCATTTTCAGTGTAAACACAATTTTGAATATTTGATTACACTTCTGGGGGCTCTAACAATATTTCAAAAGAGAAAATAAGGGACTGTGTCTCCTTAGTCTAATTAATGTATCATCTTCTATCGCTTTCTCTTTCGCTCCTACCAGGTAATTTTCTGCTAAGGTTGTATAAAAATCCTGGGGCACGCAAAAATCCCCTTTTACACTGCATGGAAGGAAGTTCTATGGGGACTTGCAATCAGCTGGCACGGGGGAAGGACTCACATGCTCGGCATGGGCTGTTGACTTTGTCTTCATCCTAACTGGTGACCTCAGTTGCCAGAGGAATCACTGCCTTTAAAATTGCTGCCACACATTTGGATCCTGAAGTGGAATCCAGACTCCCCTTCCCAGATCATTGTATAGCACAGAGAAATTAGCACAACAGCTAACCTGTGGTGGGAATCTGTGAATATTCTTCTAGTTTGAAGTATACATGAGGTAATTTAAGAGCCTTTTAATTAACAGTTACCGCAATTTTGGCTTGCTTGGAGTTTGCCTGTAAATGCATAAAACTCTTATTTTATTTTACAAAGGCCTCTAAAGCAATGAAATTCTTTTACCATCCTGAGCAAGATTCAAGCTGATAACCTGGGGCTGAAATGCTGTATTTCATACTTCTAGTCTTCAGTTTCTCAGCCAAATACAAATAGTCTCAATTTAGCTAGGAAAGAGATTCATTACTCGATATTAGGAAATGCACAGTTGTCCATAGTCCCAGCCAGTCTGGGAGGCCTACCAGCATAAAATGGAAAATTGGATCAAGGTCTGGCATTTATACCTAAATCCAAACCATCAGATAATCAATTTCAAGCCAGTCCATCATGTTGCATAATAAATACCTGTGTCCCATGGTGAATTTCCAGTAGCCATAATGATGGTACTATGCAAATCAGATACAAAAAGATTGCTGGAGAAAACCTGCAAAGGAAAAGATAGCTTGGTATTATATCACATTGTAAATATCTTGTATTCTCCATTATTATCTCAGTTGGACATGGAGAATTCTACTTACATTACAGTTCACATTGGGCTATAACTGCAAATAAGAGTTGCAATTCTTGCTGAATTCTCACACTGTCAATATAATGAATTATACTTTTTTTTTTTTTTTGTAAGCCTAAGATCATATATAGTTTATTTAAAATCCCTTCTCAAAAACTACCCAAGTATTTTAGCTGTTTTTATTTCCATCATGTATTTCCATCCATTCTCATTATTTAAAACAAACTAACAACAAAAAAAAAGTCTAACTGATGTGATCTTTTAGATTTGAGGAAGGATGAATCATAGAATCACTTGAGTTGGAAGGGACCTATAAGGGTCATCTGCTCCAAATCCCCTACAATGAGCAGGGATGTCTACATCTAGAGTTGTTCCACTGGATAGTGCTGGGATGAAGGCTGTTGATTAGGATCCTAGTGACACAGAAAAGTTGGAAACGACTTTGCTGAAGACATTTCTTTAGTTAGATTTTTTCAGTGCAGACTAAAATGATTTATGAAAATGGGCCTTGCCCTTCTTCCCCCACTTGTGCTGGCAACTGTCTAATCTTTTTAGGATTTCTTTCTCCAGTTCCTTTTTCTTGTTGCTCTCTTCTATAACTTGTGATGGCGAAGCTTTATCATCTAAAGCTTCTTGAACTGAGTTTATTAAGGCATGAGGGTGGTGAGACACTGGAACAGGTTGCCCAGTGAGGTTGTGAATGCCCCCTTCCTTGGAGGCACTTAAGGCCAGGCTGGATGGGACTGCAAACAACCTATTCTAGTGGGAGGTGTTCCTGCATATAGCAGGAGGTTGGAACTAGATGATCTTAAAGGTCCCTTCCAACCCAAGCCATTCTATGATTGTATGTTTTCCTATGAAACATATGACTTTATTTTTTCATTTTGCAATTCTTATCATTTTGGATTACGAATGAGGCTGTCCAATGCCAGCCCTGCCATAGTATGGAGTGAGCATCACAGTGATGCTTCCGAGAGTGACAGCAGCCTCTGCACCACATGTACATCTCAGGCAGAACAGTGAGGACAGCTTCAGGACACTTGTTTGGTTCCATCTGTCTTGTCAACAGCACACATGGCAGTGAACTGAAATTGCTTATAATTGTGTTTTGGTCAAATTAGTTGGATCTATTATTAGCTCACATCTGGAATGTACCTTTATTTCTGTAATAATGACTTTTTCAGAGGAGATTGTTTTGAGGAAGAAAAACAACCAAAAATCCAGCTGCTTAGGAAAATCATTTGTTTGCTGAACTGCTCCGAAAAGTTTCAGTTAATCCCTCTGTATAAGGTGGTCTTGAGCTGTTATGTGTTGTTTGCTTTTTATAGTTGGTTTGTATTTCCTTTTTTACATTTTGGTTGTTCTTGGGGTTAGAAGGTGTGCTTGAGTGTTTGTTTGTTTTCCTGAAGTTAGTGATTCTGTGGGGTTTTAGCCTAGTTATTTTAGGAGAGAACACACTTCTCAATTGAATGGGAGGACTATTTTATTTTACTATTTCCTATAGGACTTGAGCACATGAGAAATCCATCCAGCTGGCAAGTTAGCAGTGCTGAGCTAATGATAGCAGATCTGGCCAGGAAAGTTCAGGAGCTTTAACCCTGCCTTTCTTTCAGAAGGAACGCTGTAGAGCAAATATTACTTGGCCAGGCACACAATATTACTCTCTCCAAACGCTCTATTTAATTATTTCTGCTGATGTAATAAGCAACTGTCTTTTCTGAATAGTGTATGGAGAGCATGCGAGGCTTGTGAAGGCAGGGGAGTTCTGTGGTAGAGACTGTCCTTTGCTTGCATTAGTAGACAAACATGGAGGCATTTCTATAAATGCAGCTGATGTTTTTGGTTCTGAGTATGGGTGTCTGCAGAGCAAGAAAGTTATCCTGTTGTGATTAGATGCTGCTCATTTGTCTGCAGTTCTCACCTACAACATCATTGGACCATTGTCCTTCTAGCCAAATTTAGCCCAGACTTCTAGCACACGTTCATTGAAAAGAATCTGCTTTCTGTATGGTTGGTTTTTTTTTTTGGTTGTCCAAAAATGGGTTTAGTGAGTGTGCCTTCATGAAGTGTCTGCTGCCTCTTCCTCACCCTAGTGAACGGGGTCTGTTCACTCTGCCTGTGATTTACACATGTGCTCTGCTGTTAAATTTTCCTGTATTCCAGAAAGAATCACTGCTTTTATTACATTTAAATTTAGATGTAGAACACTTTTGAGAATTGTCATACAACATTGCTTCTGTTATAATGCGTTTCACAGGCTGCAATAGACAGAAATATAAGGTCATGGAAATTGCTAGGATTTTCTTTTTTTTTTTTTTACCTTGAATTTGTCCCAGGGACACTGGGATAAAGGACCTGCAGTTTGAGATTTTTACAAAGAAAAGGTCCTAGTGAAACCTGGACAATTAGTTACATGCCCGCTTCCCCTTCACCAACCATTTGTTTTTGGCTGACTGACTGTGCTGATGAGCTGTAGATGTCTGCAGTCATTCCTTACATACGTGTAAAAACGTATAAAAAGAGCTTGGGCAAATTCTGCTATGACTAACTTATTTTGCTCATTTCCCAGGCAGTCTTTCCTGCATGAAGGCTTCCCTCTGGAATAGCCTCTTACATTCAAATCCAAACACTTAAACGACTCTTACTGTAAGAGTTCTTGCTGCTCATCTTTTATTTGATGCTGAGCTTTTGTTCATGCACTAGCATTGAAATAGCACTGTTGTGGGTAGCAGACCCAGGGAATGAGATGCCTGCCAGCAAATGGCTGGCTGGGTGAGAGGTGTGGGGCCCCTGGCACCATCTCACTGCCTGTGCTCCTGACTGGCTGTGGCATTGTGATGCCCAGTGACCCTGCCAGAGAATGCGTGCCCCCATTTCCCCTGCACCCTGGATTGGCAGAACAAAAAGCTTTTGGCTGCAGCAAAGTTCCTTCTTCTTTCAGCTGTTGGTGCACACTCACTATTGTACAAAGAGTGGTTCCCAACTCGTCTATTGCAAAGCTGCCCCTCCTGAAAGCCCTCTGGGTTTGGCCACTGGCTAGCCAGGACTTCACCACTTTTTTACCACCCCAGGTTCAGCAGCAGGGAGACTGCAGCTCCCTGAAACTGTGGCAGAAAGGAAGCCAGGGCAGCTCCGCTCACAGGCAGCAGCCCCTCATCTGCAGCAGAGTACATGCAAAGAAGCAAGAGGGGCTCCGTCGGAGCCAGCAGGATATGCTCACCATTTGTAGCCTCTGCCTTGCTTAAACTTGAGCGTGAGCCCTGTCTCCAGGCAAAGCAGAAGATTGAGCAGTGCCAGCAGCCAGTACTTGGGTTCTTTCTTCACTTCAGTCACTCTCCAGACCCCGATGAGGGAGTGCAACACGAACAGCAGGCGAGTAACAAGAGCGTTGAGCAGAACCATCAGCTCCATCCTGGCCCAGTCCCTCTCCACTCTCCCCAAACGCAGGCCCAGTGCCTGTTAGGAGCACAGAGAAGCTGCCCTGGGAATCACGGCAAAGCCTGCACAACGCAGGCACGCAGCTCTTTCCTCTCCCATCTCCACAAAGGGGCCCATTATAACAAAAAAGAAACGGTATTGCCCCTCCCCCAGACTTCCTGAAAACTTTTTGGAGAGAAGAAAAAAAAAGAAGCTCACGCTTCCAAGCTGTGGTGCTTTGCAGTGCTCTGTGCAGTTCTGACCACACTGAGCAGGAAAGGTTTCTGCATGTCCCCTCTCTATCATCTCAGGGACTGAAGGCCAGGGAAACTGCAGTCTCGCCCAGTTCCCATTTCCTTCCCAGCTCTGTTCTTATTTCCTATATTTCCAGCAAAGAGACAAAATGTAAGAAACACTATTAATGTGAATCTTCCTTGCTAAAACTTCCACTGCATTGCTGATGCTGCAAAAACCTCCTTACTCTCCCCTCCCCACAAAAGCTTTACTTCATATTTGGAAACTTTTGAAATCATTCATTTAACAGTGCAATACAGGAAGCAGAGGCTATGTATTTCAATATTGGAATCCCTGTGTGCAGACACATGGGTGTGGAGATTAGTGTTGAGCCGACTGATTGATTAAATTTCAGCACTGCTTAGCTTTTTTAACTAGCATTGGCTTTAATTTAACTAATGTACTGAATAATCTTCAACCTGCTTCAGGATGAAGAAGCAGCCCAAGTGTGAGGAATTCCATAAATCAGACTGAAATCTGGGCTAACACCAGTGTTACCCAATAAGCCAATAGAGTCAGACACAAAAGGCACATTTGAGTTTGACTGTTAAGTCAGATACCTTTGGAATGAGCTTTAGTACCTTCTGCAGCAATGGTTTGTAACTTACAGAGTACGGTAAGAGTTGCCTCGACATTTCTTATGGTAGTTCCATTTTTATTTGAATTTACACTTCTGAAACTGAAATGTCACCTGGATGAGAATTGTTACCTGCTCCGTTTTTGTGTATGTTTCCTGCCAAAGCACTGAAGTTGAGATATGCTATTGTAAAATACCAAAGCAGATTGGAAGACACGGAACCTACTATGACCCTCCAAAGGCCTAACTTCCTCACTTATTTAAAAGCATTGTTCTACTTTAAAGATAAGGAGATGTTTGTCTGAAAGTTGTGACCCTTCTAAGATGAAATTTTCCTCAGAGGTTTCTCATAGTGAAGCCAAGCCACTTCTCTACAAACTGCTCCCACCAATGCCATCCAGCCAATATCCATGGGGCTGAAGGATATAGGAGAGTAGAATCATGAAAAATAACCCTGCCCAGAAAAAGGAAGACCAAAGGTCCTTCACTCACTATAGGTTTCTCACTCAGGAAATGCCTGAGTGAATAAATGGGCTGTGCAGTGTACCTTTTTGAAACAACAGAATCATATTCCTTGTACTCAGAGCAAAATCAAGAGCTTACCACTGATAATCACCGGCCAACAGCCACCCATATGGTGTTGTGAGGGCTATAGGTTCATAGCTCTTCTGCTGGTGTTAAGCTCAAACGTAACTGAAAATGAAACAGGGAACAGACAGAACTGAGATAATTTAAACTCCTCTGTGAGAGCTTGATGACTAAGAAATGACATGAGGGCAACACATTCTAATTGTTCATGGAAATTCTAACGTCACAGACACATCATAAACTTGAAAAGATGATCAGTTGGATAGGTCAGTCCCACGACAGCATGTACTCAGGAAAGATGCAGTGAGATTTGTTGGTAGGTCAGTAATGCTGTGTGTTTAAAGATATCTTAGAGTTTGTTTTACCAGATAAGCCCATCAATGGACAATCCAGTCCTCACATGGGTGGAAGTGCCAAACAAAAGAAGGAAGTTAATACTGACTTTGTATTACATTTGTCTATCTGACCAGTGGGCCATGCTGGCAACAGAGGGCTGTGTAAAAGGAGAAAGTTAGAATAATGTGAGTCATCTGTAGATGACTGTTTAGAAAGGGCAATAATTACATCCAGTCATGACAGAGAATAGACTTTTAGACGTCTCAGTAGTTGTTTTGTGGAACAGCTGATTTGGGAGTCCATTGAAGGCTACCTTTGAGAAGAAATACTGCTGAGAAAGTTAAAATGGAGTACTGTGATTCAGTCTAGAGAAGAGAAAACTGAGAAGAGATAGAAGTGGCCAAATGAGCTGCTGCAGGGAGGCCAGCAATAGCCCAAGTCCCAGAGGGGAGAATGCAGAAGGCTTAAGCAGCAAGAAAGATTACCATTAGGTGTCTTGAGATTTTTCCTGCTAGGAGGGACACGGAAGACCTGAAACAGATTGCACAGAGATCTTGAATCTCCATTATGAAAGACACTTGAACACGGATCAGGGACCCATACATCAGGAATATCAGCAGTTTAGTTGATCACACTTTGGGGCAGAGGGCTGACTGGAAGAGCTCTAGAGATTTCTCAGTCTTACCTCCTATGGCTCTAAGGTTTATTTCTGTATGATCTAATCCTTGTCTCATGTCTTTGAGGAAGTTATGCCAGCCTTATAAAGAGATCACAGCATGTGGCAGTTAACAGCCATGTTGAAACAAATGGGAATGATTCAGTTTTACATGTGAAACAAAAAATTAGTCCAGTTTTGGAAAGGAAAACCTGACTCTTGCAACATGGGGAGAGGCAAATCTTTCAAAACAAGAGATGTGCTAGAAAGTACTAGCTAGATTAGTAAGGGTGTGAAGGAAATGGATAAAGGAGTGAAAAAACAATATAAAGAGATTAGCTCTCCGGTAAAGAGCCAATATGACTGTAAAAGCATTAAAACCCCTGCAGGAGATATACTGAAGACTCTGCCCTGGATTAGAATTTGATATAAAATAACTGAAGTCATACAGTTTCTATGCCATTTGTAGCTGAGTTAATAGCATATGTTCCTGGAGGATTACAGTCAATGATTAAGGAAATTAGGTTTTGTTTGAATTTAATTTAGTTGTATAAAGCTGCTACAATAATTTACAGCTTTGATATTTAATATTTAATAACACACATCTTAAAAGAATCCAAGATTAGAAGTGCCATTATATATTGAAATATTATCCCCATAAGTCATTCATATTTGCTAGCTGATAAGAATGTTCATCAATTAGATGAGCTCAACAGGAGCTACTTGATAAAAAAAAAAAACAACAGTGCAGCTTGATAGATGGTGGAGGGAAATCTTTCTGTATCTTTCTCTATCTGTTATTGTGGTACAGAAATCATAATACATTTACAAAGAACTTTGCACTCTCAGTTATAATAATCAAAAAGGATGCACCTCTGATGGCTTTCTTTCATTGAATTTTCAAATTTATGGCTTCATGAACACCATACACTCTTTTTCTTCTTTCTTACAAGTGTTTTCCTTGCCTCCATTCCTTTTTTTTTTTTTTTTTTTTTTTTTTGCCTTTGAAGGAATATTTTCCTCACTCCAATTTAGCAAGCCATCCTGTCTCTGTTCAGAGGAAAAGAGGTATGTGAAAGAACATCCTAGACTGAAAATCCAGTCTTTTAGAAAGAAAGGTGAAAGTACTTATTACATGGGCATGGGTCTATGATGAATACTCTGTCCCCAGCCACAGCGTCAGGTGGTGCATGCTGGCAGAGCTCCATGGAATCAAAGCTCATCAGCCCCAAAGTATGGCACAGAGAGATTCATTTTTCCCCTTTTTAAAACTAAGGGAAAGATATGAGTAGTTTACAGCTGTTCACAGCTGATATATCTTTTCTGTTGGTTTTATGGTTTGGAAAAAAGCACTCTGGAAGGACTCTATTTTTCCCTAAAGGACTAAAAGAAAAGAAAGTTTCATTTATTTTATTAGTATTTGAAATTCTTTGCATGGTTTGGATTTTATTTCTGAGAACTCAAAGGAGTTCTGTAGCAGTGCATATTTCAAAGAAGAATAGAAGCAACCCTTTTCTGCAGGAACTATTTCATCCATGGTTGAAATTACAAACACAGAAAAACTATGGTATTTGTTCTTGATAAAGGGGAACATTTTCCAACAATTTTGTTTGGCTAGGAATCCTTTGAATGATCTTTTAAATCATTCTCTCTTGTGCTTTCTAGTATATGAATCGTGATGATTCAGGATGAATAAAATGGTGGCAGGGCAGATGTTCCTGGTGAAGATATTGCTAGTGAAAATACCAGCTCCTTTCCCAGATGGAACATTAGGCACAAAGACAGAATATCTTAGGCTTTGTAAGACAGCCAGCCAAGATAAGTTTGTAAGAAAAAAACTAATGAGACTGCTTTTATTTACACTATTTACACTCTTCTTAGTATGTTACAAGCAAGTCCTTTGTCCCCATGGTGAAGCTCCCAGGATAGTTGTACAAGTGATTATTATGGCGTAAAGTTGGAGCTAACAGGTATGAGATCAAGTGCATAGACCCAGTGTCTCAGTGCAGTTTGACTGCTCTGGGCATGGTTTCTTGCTAATTGCAGTCATATGCCTCTGATCAACTCATACCATAAGCAAAAAAGTTTGCAACAGTTGGCAAAATATCGAATATGTAAACACCACTATAATGTTAGTGCTGGATGAATCAGTTCTGATGGAAAGAAGCCTCTTACAAAGTCAGGCTTCATCTCGTTGAGGGAGTTATGGTGGAACATTGCACATCTGTGCTTAAGAAATAGCGTCATGGATGATCTTTTTTGGTATTTTCCATGATATGAAGGTTGTGTGTAGGCCTTTACCATTGGCAGTTGGAACAGTTAAACACTGGTACTTGGCTATGGTCATAATGAACTATTTTCCTCCCTGAGAATATTGGGGTTTGATCATGATCTGCGTGTGTGTGTATGTATATATCAGAGTATGTATATGTACATGTGTGTACATTTAGTATGTATATATGTAGTCTACCCCATAACATTTGCATAGTGTTTGATAAATAGTACTGAAGCTGCCTACATAATTCCTTCATATTTCTGTAAGCTTGTTTGTTCAGATTTTTTTTTTGTTCTCCATGTTGAAAAGAACTGGAAGTCTGGACTGTACTGCAAAATGCAAGTTGGCAGACTGGGGATTTATTGCATGAATGCAAACAAGAGGAGGGGAACATATAAAGGATACAACTCTCGCGTCCACAAAAAAAAAGAAAAAAAAAAGAAAAAAAATACCTCAGTTGCAATCTGCTAATCAGATTCACCATCACTGCAGCAAAAATGAAATGACACTGGTCTTTCTCTTCCATAAGGCTGTCAAGATGCTTAA